TACGGCGCCGGGGCCGAATCGGCCACCGACTGGCTGCATGGCCTTCCTTCGTGACCCGCAGTTTCTCCTCTCAAGTGGGGATGGGAGAGGGTCTTCTAGTAGCGTCTTGCGGGACTAAGTGTGGATGGATGTCTGACCGCAGGAAGCGTGCAGGGAGGATGGGTTAACATTACCGTCCCGGCTGAAAGAAGGTGGGAGCGCAGGGTGGAGGGCGGCAGACCCCGGGGTGGCCTCCGGAGCAAGAGGCCAGAGACCAGCAGACTAGGGAACCGCCCCTACCCGGCGTCCACCTGCCCCTGGGCGCGCCGGGGCGGGACCAAAATCGGTGGGGCGGGGCTAAGTTGACGCCGGGGCGGGGCCAAAATCGGTGGGGCGGGGCGGGCGCCGAGGACATGGCGCTGTGGGGCCGGCACGCTGGTGTCGCCCTCTGGCTGTGGGGCCCGGGAGGCGGTCGCGGCGGGGCCCGGGGCCGTTGGCAGCCCTGCGGCTGTCGGCCGGCGTTTACCGGGACGGAGGGCGTCCGTGCGGGCGCGGTTGTCCTGGGACTGGCCCGCACTGAGAACCGGACCGCGGCCTGTCAGACGCCCCTTTCCGCTGACGCGGTCGCGACGGCGCTGCGGACGCGGCCCAGGGCGTCGGTTCCCCGCCTCTTCCTTCGCAGGTATTTCGGCGAGGACACGCAGTGACTCCTCCCGTCTTCAGGACGGGTCCGCCCCGTGCTGGGCGGTGTGTCCTGGAGGTCAGGCCCCGTCCCGCTCGGTGCGGTCCGTCCACTCTGTGGAGGCCTCGTCGTGTGTCACCCTTCCCCTGTCGAAACGGTTTCTGATCTTTAGTTACTACGGGTAATGCTGTGGTGAATACCTTGTCTGCACCTCGCTTTTTGGATAAGTTCCCAGTATTGGGACTATTGGGTCTAAAGGTATAAGTACACTAAACATTTTACTTGTCCTCTATAGAGACTGTGCAGTTAATGCTCCCACCAGCGTGTGGTCATGCCCGTCTACACATTACCCTTTTCGGAGTCCTTACCAAAGAACTGAGCCTACAGATGGAAAAATCTTCAGGCCCATAGTTGTTAATCATAGTTGTTAGGAAACATACTTAATTAAGTTAATAATGGTGCATTCACTTGATGCTGTCTGGCACAGCTACTAAAAATGTTTATTTGGTGAAGAGTTTAGAAAAGAGATCCTGGGCTGGCCAGTTAGTTCAATTGGGAGGTCGTCGTGCTGAGAACAACAGGGTCACGGTTTGGAATCCCTTGATGAGCTAGCCGCCAGAAAAAAAAAGTATGAGAGATCCTGAGGAGTCATTCGTTCATCCAAGAGGACTTTGCTGAGCTTTTGTCCTATGTCAGACTGTGTTCTAGGTGCTGGGGACCAGGACAGACAAAGGCTTGTTTCCATGGAGCTAATTCACGTATCAGAGATTTGCAAGCGACTGTCATTACACAAATCCTGGCTGCCATCCTCCTCAAATGGGAGACACAGGGTTGCCTGTGAGGAGCAGTCCATTTGCATTGGTTCTCTGCAGTCTGGAATTTCTTCCCCTTAACTTTAGATTTTGGGGCGCTGGTGTGAATTCCTCCTTTGCATCCCTTTCCACAGTGTCTCTCCCAGGCAGCACCTCAGGATCCCCCTAGTCACAGTAAATTTCATACTTCGTAGCATATACTTTAAGTCATACACCTTAAGTATGGTAAAACTCTGTCCACGTGTTTTTCAGTGACTCACAAACATGTTACTTGTGTAAATGGGGATTGTGTTTCAAGTACCCTGTGTAATACCTTGCACTCGGTAGGCACTCAACAATGGTAATAATTTTCCTCTCATGGTTTGCATTTAGAAGGAGCTCAGTAAGTGTTTGCATAAGGACCTTAGGTGAATAGACGTCCTTAATGCTTTGTGAAGTGGGGCGATTAAAGGTGGTGGGGTGCTGGCCAGTTAGCTCAGTTGATTAGAGCGTGGTGTTTTAACACTGAGGTCAAGGGTTCGGATCCCTGTACTTGGCCAGTGGGATGGTTTTGGAGTCAGGGCATTCCCTCTTCTTCCTGACCATCTGGACAGTTTTCATCAGAAAACCCCTTTTTAGGTTTCATTGACTTGCACTCACAAGAGCTACCTGGGCAAGGTGCTTTTATGCACACCTCTGATGTGGCAGAACCTTCTTCATAATCTGTGGCCTGCTCTGCAGCAGCGTGGGGAGGAGGAGAAGCATTGTCTTTCCCTGCTGTGTGTATTTTCTGTACTTTCTGGTGGGAGGTTTACAGCTGTATATTTTCTCAAAACTTTCAGCTTCGGCAGCTGAGGCTCAGGTTGAGTGGTTTGACTCCCCTTCATGTGCCCTGGGCCCTGCAGTGTGTCTTCCCTCATCGTGTGTCCCTTTCTCATTGCATGTCTCTCAGAGGTGTGTTCTCTGTGTGGTGGGAGAGGCGAACACACAGAAGGATGCATATGGCCTGCCACTGGTCTGTGAGCAGGAAACCAGTCCCCGAATTACACCGTTGCTGACCCAGCGTGGAGTGAGAGACAGCTGTGAGGCAGCTGCACGGAGGGAAGGGGCGACTGGCACCCGAACAGGAGCAGGGACCCTTCGTCTTCCAGAGGAGGGCCAGGGGATTTAGCCCTGGCTTTGGGAGGGAGGTGGCAGTTGATCCTGGCCTTGACCCTGGATTTGGACATGCTGAGGTGGAGAAAAGTCTTTTCAGGCAGAGGGAGCTGGGTGGGAAGGGGGCTTGGGAACACTGGGTTTAGGGCATTTCCACAAAACAGGGAGACTTTTTGTTTGGCTGAAATGAGGGGTATATAGGAGGGAGTATTGGGTGGTTAAAACTGTCACTGGGGTAGGATATGTTGTAGTAAGACTTTAGGATCCTGTGGAGAGTAGAGACCTTTTGGGAAAACCATGGCAGCAGTGTGTCAGGTAGATTGGTGTGTGGAGAGATTTTGTAGTGTTGGTTTTGTAAGGAGCAATGGGAAACACAAAAGACAAAATAGCAAACAGAAAAGTGAGTTAGGATCACCCTAAAAGAAAATTTCTGAATTGTTATGACATGTGTCTAAAGGTGGGCTTTTAGGTTGCTTTTTCTTGTCTATATGACAGATAGGTAAAAGAAATATTCTCAGTTGCCTGTTTTTATGTCTGTATTCACTTTAGACTCATCATTTATTTAGGGAGGGTTGTCAGTTTGGTGTGTGGAATCTCTTTTCCCATCAGAGTGGAGGGGTCTCTATACTGCAGACAGAAGCATTGTCTAGGACAGTCACAGGGCCATCTTCTGGAGGAAGGAATGTGGTAGCTGCTGGCCCTGGGGTGTGAGGGAGGTGCCTGTGCACTGGGTCATGGCTGTCCTGAGCTCCGGGCTGATCACTGGGAGACGCCAAGAGATGAGGACCGGGAGCAGTTTGGTTAGATGCCCTAAGAGCCAAGATCTAGCAACCCAGGAGGCTATTGAGGGCCTCGTGAGGCTTCAGTGCCTTGTGCCTCTTTCAGGTGCACACTCTAGGGGGATGTTTTCAAGTGCTGCCCCAGGCTGTGTGTGATTTGCATTGCCTGTGTTTTCTTCCTGTTGCTTTCCTGGGTGCTGAGTCATTTACAAAGTTCTGAGGCCTCACTGGAGCCTGTGTCTTGTTTTTTGTGTGTTTTGTGCCTTTTTCCTATGAAAGACCATCTCCTACTCCTGACATACTCCTAATTCCTTGCTGTGAGTTTCTTGGCTCCTGGCTTCTAGAGAGAGCCCTGAGCTGCAGTCACTCACTACCGTCTACTATCTATAGCCATTTGAACCCCAAGCTGTCAGGGTGTGAATGTTTGTCTTGAGTGGTCTCTAGAGCCTACTTCTCATCCTAGTAACAAGTGTAAGTTCTGAGAATTTTACTCTTCTGTGAGTGTCACCGTGTGTTCATCACGTCCCAGGTAGGTCAAGGTGTGCAGCTGTGCTGAGAGCTTGCCCAGAGACTCCACAAAGGGTGTGTTGGCTCTGGTGTGAGCTTGTGCTGTGGAACCCTGTCCTCTCAGCACCGGCCTTTGGTAACGGGGATTGTGAAATGATACTTTCCTCATTCACACAGTTCTCATTAACCTGAAGTTTTTGCTCTCAAATAAGTCTTGATTTCTGAGTTGGGACTGCTTTCTCTTTGACCCCAGCAATCATCCATGATGAGAAAGGTGATTATTTGGGGGGATTGGAGAGAGGTGCGTAGACATTCTCAACAGTGGGGATGGAGGGAAGGGGTAGAACCATACTTTTTCTCGCTAGCATGAGATTGATTGTCACATGTTACTTTTGCCACTCTGCTTTTTCTGTCAGTATCGCAGGTGGAAGAAGGCCCATATCTTTTTCTGTGGGTGCTTTAAGCATCTTTGGAAGCAGAGGCAACAGTGAGAAGGGGAATCTTTCTCTACAGGACATAGCTGACCTGATTCGGGCCAGAGCTTGCCAGAGGGTGGTGGTCATGGTGGGTGCCGGCATCAGCACGCCCAGTGGCATTCCAGACTTCAGGTACGGCCTGCAGTGCCTCCCTCACTGCCCCGTTACTCCACTCCCTGCTCTGTTCTAAGGGGCTCAGAGCCTCTTCTCTCTCTGCAGATCTCCAGGGAGTGGCCTCTACAGCAACCTCCAGAAGTACAACATCCCATACCCTGAGGCCATTTTTGAACTCGCATTTTTCTTTCACAACCCCAAGCCCTTTTTCACTTTGGCCAAGGAGCTGTACCCTGGGAACTACAGGCCGAATGTCACTCACTACTTCCTCCGACTACTCCATGACAAGGGACTGCTTCTGCGTCTCTACACACAGAATATTGATGGGCTCGAGAGAGGTGAGCCCTCCATCCTGTCCGACACATTCTCTCTCCTGCAGGGAAAGCTAGGGTGCCTGTTTCTACATAGGGCTGAGGCCCAGTGCTTATACCTCGTCCCGGGGACTGTTTTTGAGCTAACTAGTTATGCCTTTGTTCCTAAAATAATGTCTTCTGGGTGTGTAAGGGCCGCTGTAGGGCCCTCGCTATGGGCCTGTTCTCCTGGCAGACCTGCTGGGCTGTGAGTTTTGGGCAGAACTAACGTTGACATTGTTTTGCTAATTTGGTATGATGATCTCTCTTTTTCCCTTTTTAAAAAATTTTATTATGGGGCCGGCCCGTGGCTCACTCGGGAGAGTGCGGTGCTGATAACACCAAGGCCCCGGGTTCGGATCCCATATAGGGATGGCCGGTTCGCTCACTGGCTGAGCGTGGTGCTGACAACACCAAGTCAAGGGTTAAGATCCCCTTACCGGTCATCTTTAAAAAAAAAAAAATTTTATTATGGAATTTTTTTGAGCACACAAAAACAAGAGAAAAATGTAATGAACCCTCATGTCTTCACCACCTGGTTTCTGTTTTCAGCACATGCCAGTCCTTTGTCTCATGTCTCCCCACCTTGTCCCTCATCCCCGATTGTTTTGAAGCAAATCCCTCACACTGTAAATTTAGTCTAGAAGTAATCCATAAATACATCAGTGGGTAGCTCTAGAAGATAAAGACTTCTAAAAATGTAACTCTGATGCCATGATCACACTAAAGAATCACTCATAATTCCTTAATATTGTCAGACTCAGTTTATGATGATTTCTGGACTGTATCCACATGGTGGCCACAGCCAGTGATTCACAGACTGTGCTGTCCTCTGGCCGTGCATCCTGGAGAAGCATTTGGTGGGGCCTCTTTCTCTTGTGCAGGGAGGTGGCAGGTGCTGTGGCAGTCAGCTCTCAGCCAGTCTACAGATGTGTTGTGCTTTGAAAAGAGGAGTCACCTTGGCACCTGGCTGTGGGCATTAGTGCTGCATACTTAGGATAGTAGCAGGGACTTGGGAGGCTGCCTGCAGCTGGGACCCTGTCTCTGCCCACCACAGCCTTCAGAACCAGATGGTGGTAACAGACAACTTTAGTGAGAAGTTACTTTTTGTCTGTTTTTCACCAAGCAATTTTTAAAAATTTATGGTATTTATATCTTCATTTTTACCCGGTGTCTGTAGAATAGAAAAAGTGTTCCTTAGATACTGTATATAATTTTATCTGAGCTTATATCAAGTGCTTTTTCGTACTGTGTTTTGACAGGCTTTGTTGTAGCTGTGATTTGGCTCCACCTGGTAGCCCTGTGTCCCTGTGCCTTATCCTAGTTGGTGGAGCATCACTGTAGGTGATACAGAAGGGACATCAGGCTCTACTGGGGGCTGTGACTCCTTCCAGGAGGTCTGCTGAGCCTAGAAGTTATGCTTTTGGACTTTGCAGCCACCCCAGAGGCAGCAACACTTAGCTTTGGTTTGAATTTCAGTGTCTGGCATCCCTGCCTCAAAGCTGGTTGAAGCTCACGGGACCTTTGCCTCTGCTACTTGCACAGTCTGTCGAACACCTTTTCCAGGAGAGGCCTTTTGGGTGAGTTATCCCACTGATGGTGTGTCCCTTTTGCAGTTTGCAGTGGGGGTGACTGGGAAAAGTGGTATTTTATAAGCATCGTGTCAGAAGGATGACAGAAAAATAATAGTGTGAAAATATTTTTCTTTAGTTTCAAATTAGAGAAGTAATACATGCTTGTGAAAAATTAAGGTGATACAGAAATATGTAGGGAAAATGAATTTCCCTTCAACCGGTTGCTACTAACCACTTTTAACAGTTTGGTGTATAAAGTTCCAGGCCTTTCTTAAAAAAGGAGGTATGTGTATGTAAACATACATGCACACATTTATGTATATATACCCACACTAACAGATAAAACTTTTTTTTCAGTAATGGGATCATGTTATGCTTAATATTATACAACTTGCATTTTTACTGAACAAAGTTTCATGGATATCTTTTGTCAAAACCTACAGTTCTGCTCACTTTTTATTACATTTAGCTCTTCACCTATTATGGGACATTTTTTCATATTTGTAATTTTCACTTTAAAAAATAATACAATGGTGATACCCATGTTTGTACCCCTGTGTACTTCTGTGAATATTTCCATAGGATGGCTTTCTTAAAGTAGGATAGGACCGGGTGGAAAATCTTAACAAGTAAGGATAAAACTCTGAAATATCAACATGGCGCAGGACCGTGTCTTTTATTTTTTATTGAGGTGAAATCCACATAACATAAAATTAAGCATTTTAAACTGTGCGATTCATTGGCATTTAGTCATTCACAGCCTTGTACAGTCGTCACCTCTGTCAACTTCCACAATACTTGGATCACCCCATAAGGAGACCCCATGCTCATTAAGCAGTCACTCCCCATTTCCCCTCCTCTGGCCCCTGGCCATTACCAACCTGCCCTCTGTCTCCATAGGTTTGTCTGTTTTGGTATTTCATGTAATGGAGTCATACACTGTGTGACCTTTTGTGTTGGGCGTCCTTCACTCAGCATCACATCTTGATGGTTTGTTCACATTGTAGCTCGCATCAGTTTATTCTTCTTCCCTTTTTATGGCTGAGTAATGTGTGTGCCACAGTTTGTTTATCCACTCACATTCTGATGGATGATTTTTCCGACCTTTTTGCTGTTGTGGATATTTTTGCTGTGAACATGCATGTACAGGTATTTGTTTGAGTCCCTGTTTTCTATTCTCTTGGGCATGTACCTAGGAGTAGAATTGCTGGGTTATATGGTAATTCTATGTTTGGCTTTTTGAGGATCTACCACACTGTTTTCTATAGCAATTGTAATATTTTACATTCCCACCAGCAGTGCATAAGGGTTCTGATTTCTCCACATGCTTGCTAACACTTACTATTATCTACTTTTTGTTTGTAGCCATCCTAATGGGCAAGAATGGTATCTCATTGTAGACTTGATTTGCATTTCCTTAATAACTGATATTGAGCATCTTTTCATGTGCTTGTTGGCCATTTGTATATCTTCTTTGAAGAAATTTCTTTTTTTTCTTTTTGTCTTTTTTCATGACCGGCAACGGATTGCAACCCTCAGTGTCGCACCCGTACCGGACTGGGACCGGCAACGGGATCGCAACCCTCGGTGTTGCGCCCGC